AAATGCGACACGCTCCGTCAGAAAAATCGCTTCAGCTTTCCACATCCCGTGAACGTCGGTCACCCGAATCTGATTGCAGGCTCATCTCCTGTGATACGGATCCTGATCCTCCGACACAGCTGAGATTTTACTCCAATAAGACACATTCAAGCCGGCGGAGTCCACTGCTGACTGCTGTGTTTCGGGCGCCTAGGTCACACACACACAGAGCTATTGCTGACGGTATTGCCGAGGGCTGGGGCCCTGAGCGAACACGGGAGATTACAAAGTAAGTGTAAGATGATGTATGCGCATTCTTCGTCATTGCTACAACTGTTCGACTGCTGGAAGGGTGAACTATTCCCACACTTCACGTGGCATGGCGGACGACGTCCCTGCGTGGTAAATTTGCCCTCGTTTCCCAGTTGAAAGGCAAAAAGGTGCAACCGTGAAATTGCTTGTTCACACCACTGCTATCTCAAGGATCTCCACTGGAGGGAGCTCTAGTGAGTATTGGGATGGACTCCTCGGTGATGACCAGGCACATTAGGAGGAGGTGAGAGCACACTTTATTACACCACACGCAACCTACCCATCGACTAACTGCTGGGTGGACAAAGGCGGTGGCGATTTATTAAACGTGTCCCATTGTTGTTAGTGCCGTGCCTCTGCCACGGGTTCCAGTTCGGAAAGCTGCAATTAGCAAGTGACTGGAGAAAATCAACAACAACCACACAAGTCTACCGCTCCACGAAGATCTCCAAAATCCACCTTCCAAAAGTTCTTCCATCATCAAGACACCCACTGCGGTCCAGCGAGCCACGTCTGGACTGCTTGGGTGATACTGGCTGGCGAGATGGGGGGTGTGGAATCAGCACCGAATCACTTCCTTGTCGGGGATCCTACAGTTCGTCCACCCGACTTCACCAAGCCACGCCATCAGGGAGCATTGCTGGACGGGTTGTGGACACAGGGCAAGGTCGTTGCACTGCCGACCTCCAACGTTGGGGTTTCCGTGACAACTCAAACTGCAGATGTGGCACCGTGCAAACAACGTCGTCCAGCAACCCTCGATCAATATTGTATTTGCTGTGACTATGAAACACAATTGCAGTCTGCATAAACACTACTGGAATAGCATAACATTGATACTGCAAACTGAGGCATTACGTGGTTTCCAAGTGTTATGAGGTGGTGACTCACAATTCATTTTACTGGCCACACCTGGTTCGGTATACAACAGGTATTATTTATTTAAATTAATGTAAACGTTATCCTAAACACATCTTAAAATATATCAGCGCGCTACCCAGCCACGTTCAAGGTAACCAGCTCACTCATCCCCTAAGAGACTTCCCGATCTCTGGCTCAGCCCCCCTTCATACAGGCAGAGATCTCTCCATGAACAATGACTCCTTCATTAAATCCAGCTGCCCCCCAATTGCCTCACTCCCTGGGGGAGTCACCACCACGGCCCAAGCAATCATCCTGGGTGTGCGGATCACACCTTTAATCACAAAGTGCCCAACCCGCAGAGCCATCGTCTTCACGGACATGGCCACGACACAAGAGTGATCCGCCCTTGTAGCGTCACCAGGCGCTTGGACGCTATCACTGCGTGGATTCCCAACAGTGACTTTGGTGCGCGTGTTGTTTGCTACGCGCGCTCTTGCGTTTGCCCAATGGCCACTCGACTCTCGTTTACAGGCCCTATGTAAAGACTTGAGCAATAAAATCGCTAAAATTAAAGGTGCGACCCCGAAACTCGTTGACTCATGCCACTGCCGGCACGAGGTGGCCCTTCAGAGCAGTGGTTCTCACCCGGGGTGGCTGCGCGGACCTCTGGGGGCACGTGGCCGCTTCCCAGGGGGTCACGCGAGGTGGTTTAAACACGCGTGAAACTCTATCATACATGAGCGTCGTTGGTGAATAGTCACGTGTAAATCTGGAGACGTAAAATAACGATACATTTTGAATCCATATGGTAACGTAGAACGATATAATAGACCTTTTTATAAATAAATAAATAGATGCGCCGTTTAAAATAAATGTATGCAAACCAACACACCTGAAGACGACCGTTTGTGTTATGGTCGAAACGTCGTGAGAATTTTTATTGTTTTATATTTTTTTATTATTTTGTTGTTTCCCTTCAACGTGACTTTACCGAAAGAACTAAGATTATGAATTACTGCAGTCACGAAAGCTTTAAATCAAAATGTTAAACAAATTAACCCGCGCGTGCAGATTACTAGCTAGTTAGGGATACTTCGCAAAGATGGTTAAGCTATTGATGTTCATTATTCTTACATTAAGCTCTCAGAACCCGTGCTGAGTCGGGCAAAGGTGGTAAATGTCACAAGGGCGGTAACAGCAGCAGCAGCAGACAAAGGTTGAGAAGAACAACCGTTGATGTGGAGGGTGTCGAGTCTGCTCTTGCACGCTGAGCAAGGTGGCAGAATCCACATCTGTACCCACCGCACGCTTCCGACCGCTCGTGGCATGCCCATCTACACTGCTGAGTGGACAGAGGCGGTTAAATCTTGACTTGTTGGGTCTTTCGGTAAATTCACGCGACTTTACCGAAAGACCCAAAGAACATGAATTCCTGCAGTCGCGAAAGCTTTAAGTCAAGATGTAACCGCCTCTACGGGGATGGTTTCCACACAACTATTCAGCCTGATGACGACCGCTTGCGTTGCGATCGAAACGTCGTAGTTTTCTGTTATTTTTGTTATTTTCTTTGAACCTATCGACGTGACTTTATAGAAAGATCCAAACAATTAGAGGCGCCGAAGTTGAAGAAACGTGAATTGTTTCTGCTCCCGCGCCAGAAGATGGAATCGAACCGGGGACTTGCAAGCCCGGGGCTCTTCACCATTCCACCAGTGCCGGATGAAGCTCGTGGCCTTGTGCGGTGTCTGGAGCATTTGTTATAAAGGGGCCCTAATTATTTAATTAAAAACACGTAAATATGAAAAAACATTTTTTTTTACTTACATAGTAAAGTAATTGTATGTTTTCATTTGCTATACAGCCAGATAATACGACAAATCGCTAACCTTAAACACCCAGTCGTTCATAAAAGTTGAAGGCGGTATAGTACTATAGTAATAGAGCAAGTGCAGAATCACTGAACCGGAATTGACAGCTTGAAAGCATTTAGCGCGGCGCCTTTGAAAGTGCCGGGCCTGTAGCAACATGTGTAGCTACTTTTGTTACGAGGATAATCCGGCACTGCATTCCACACGAATGAATGCCACTTGCGCCGTTACCTGCGCTGTGAATATTCCACGGCAGCGTCCGGCATCGCTCTCCCTTCACGGGAATGTCCCCAACTTGTAGCGACGCGCAACCAAGCTGCAGCGGCAGGGATGACGGAGCTGTTGCCGGGATCTTTAAAAACACCGTAAATCGATTCAACCGCGCACTCGGCAAATTGACTGAAATGGTGGCCGGTTGGACTGTGCTAATCATTGCATCAAGGGAGTATCCCTGAGCAACCAACGTGTTGTAAAAGCGTGTTTTTAACTTGACTTGAACAATTTAGAAGGCAAGGCACCTCCAGCTCGCACCCCATCCCCATGCCACGGGGATGAATACACACAACGTACACAATACACACAACGTACACAATACACACAACGTACACAATATACACAACGCACACAATACACACAACGTACACAATATAAACAACGTACACAATACACACAGCGTACACAATATACACAATGTACACAATGCACACAACGTACACAATATACACAACGTACACAATACACACAACGTACGCAATATACACAACGTACACAATATACACAACGTACACAATACACATAACGTACACAATACACACAACGTATACATTATACACAACGTACACAATATACACAACGTACACAATATAAACAACGTACACAATATACACAACATACACGATACACACAACATACACAATACACAAAACGTGCACAATACACACAACGTACACAATATACACAACGTAGACAATATACACAACGTACACAATATAAACAACGTACACAATATACACAACGTACACAATATACACAACGTACACAATATAAACAACGTACACAATACACACAACGTACACAATACACACAACGTACACAATATAAACAACGTACACAATATACACAACGTACACAATATAAACAACGTACACAATACACACAACGTACACAATATAAACAACGTACACAATACACACAACGTACACAATATAAACAACGTACACAATATACACAACGTACACAATACACAAAACGTACACACTATAAACAACGTACACAATACACACAAGGTGCATAATATAGATGTACACAATAATAAAACGTACACAATATCAACGTACACAATATACACAACGTACACAATATTCTATACACAATTATCACATCATTTTCACGTAGTGTATTATGTTAATGTAGTAAAAAGTATTTTTTACAGATATATTAATCAGCTCAAGCATCCCATAAATCGATTCAACCTCACCTTTTTCAACTTACTCTTACTTAAGATTATTTAATAGTGCTATTTTTTTACATGCCTTCGATAGTAATTTATTATAATGCAAGTTTGTTTGATACAGAATTTGCTTTATTGTGATTTAATTTATTCACACTGTTTTTTTGAATCTCTACAGCACTTTGAATGGCATCCTTTGTACGAATTAGTGGTATAGAAATAGAGACTTGATTGATTGATAAATCACGTGACTTCTGCGACGACTATCTAAACCGGTCCGGGGACTCCCCTAGGTCGACTGAGCCTTAAACGAGTACCTGGTGCGGTGTGTGTAAACATCGTCACTGGGGAGACAAAGACGGCCGGGCGTGGTGCTGGCCACCCACCCCCTCGTGTGCCGTGTCCGCCGTCATAGGTGCTCGCTAACATCACTCGCCCCAACAACAACCACAGCGCGTTCAAGGCCATATTGGGGGATCTCTGTGATTGGTCTGGAGTCTACGCCACACCCCTTCGAGTGTGACGTCGCTGCATTCCGAGAAACAACGCCGTCTCGTGCGCTTCTCAGCATTGCCGTGGCCCTTCAGAGAAACGCCGCGGCAGTGAGTTGCTGGCGCCGCGTGGTGCGCGTGCGTGTGTGTGTGTATATATAGGACGTGTGGCGATAGCGTGGAGCTCAGTCATCTTTGAAGATTTTGTTGTTGTACTACGAGCGAAAATGTCCCTGCTTTCTTCAACCATTTTTCTCTTCGCATTCATCTCGGGCAGTTACGGTGAGACGACTGCACACACCATCAGCTTTGTTGCCTTCGTTTATAGTTCATAGGTTCAGTGTATGCCGGGTGCTAAACCCCGTGGGCAGTCAGACTACCTAACGCCAATGTTGTTACCAATGCACTGCTGGATGGAAGCGTCCCTATCCTGTCCATCGTGAGGGCTATTTGACCATACAGTACTTGCAAAGTGTTGAATAGAACATGTGTTTGTAAATGTTGCTAAGTAAAACTTCGTGCATGTTGCAGTCAGTTTAACACGTACAGTGAGGGAAAAAAAGTATTTGATCCCCTGCTGATTTGTACGTTTGCCCACTGACAAAGAAATTATTAGTCTATAATTTTAATGGTAGGTTTATTTGAACAGTGAGAGAGAATAACAACAAAAAAATCCAGAAAAACGCATGTCAAAAATGTTATAAATTGATTTGCATTTTAATGAGGGAAATAAGTATTTGACCCCTCTGCAAAACATGACTTAGTACTTGGTGGCAAAACCCTTGTTGGCAATCACAGAGGTCAGACGTTTCTTGTAGTTGGCCACCAGGTTTGCACACATCTCAGGAGGGATTTTGTCCCACTCCTCTTTGCAGATCTTCTCCAAGTCATTAAGGTTTCGAGGCTGACGTTTGGCAACTCGAACTTTCAGCTCCCTCCACAGATTTTCTATAGGATTAAGGTCTGGAGACTGGCTAGGCCACTCCAGGACCTTAATGTGCTTCTTCTTGAGCCACTCCTTTGTTGCCTTGGCCGTGTGTTTTGGGTCATTGTCATGCTGAAATACCCATCCACGACCCATTTTCAATGCCCTGGCTGAGGGAAGGAGGTTCTCACCCAAGATTTGACTGTGCGGTGAAGTTGTCCTGTCCCCTTAGCAGAAAAACACCCCCAAAGCATAATGTTTCCACCTCCATGTTTGACGGTGGGGATGGTGTTCTTGGGGTCATAGGCAGCATTCCTCCTCCAAACACGGCGAGTTGAGTTGATGCCAAAGAGCTCTATTTTGGTCTCATCTGACCACAACACTTTCACCCAGTTGTCCTCTGAATCATTCAGATGTTCATTGGCAAACTTCAGACGGGCATGTATATGTGCTTTCTTGAGCAGGGGGACCTTGCGGGCACTGCAGGATTTCAGTCCTTCACGGCGTAGTGTGTTACCAATTGTTTTCTTGGCGACTATGGTCCCAGCTGTCTTGAGATCATTGTCAAGATCCTCCCGTGTAGTTCTGGGCTGATTCCTCACCATTCTCATGATTATTGCAACTCCACGAGGTGAGGTCTTGCATGGAGCTCCAGGCCGAGGGAGATTGACAGTTCTTTTGTGTTTCTTCCATTTGCGAATAATCGCACCAACTGTTGTCATCTTCTCACCAAGCTGCTTGGCAATGGTCTTGTAGCCCATTCCAGCCTTGTGTAGTGAGTAAATGTTGTGTGCATTACAAGTTGAATTATTATTTCTGTACACTCGGGCCTACGCCGTAAATATTATCTCCATTCCCCAGTCACTGGATCAATCGTGATATCTGAAATGTCCAAAAGCCTCCTGCCTTTGATATTCCTTTGCTCGAAGATGCTAGTGTCCCATCAACAGCATTAAAACATCAACAGGCCAATGCACAAACCTTCATGAATGCTAAATGAAAGGCAAGCCACAGTGCGATTGTGGCCATGTAACCCAACGTATGGGGGGCCAGGTAGCAAACCATGATCTGCTCTCCTTCAACCCAGGAATTGGACAAACTCCGCAAACTCTTCTCCTGAAGCTCTCTCGTGGCTAACAGACCTTGGCATCGGCAAAGTGCTCCTGTATTGTCATACACACGAATGTGCAAGAACAGGAGCAACTGAGTTGAATATAAAATAATGGGCAACCCATTTTACGGACGATTCTACCAACAAAGACTCCCGTTGCGTTGTATTCGACCTTATTTCTGGACGTTACTTTTACAAGTGTAGAGGAGTAGTTGGTGACGTTACGTCACGCTCACCCTCCGTCAGGAGGACTTTCCCGTACGACGACGTCATGGGAAGTGACGTCATGCACAGGGGTTGGTGACGTCATGTCCCCCTGGGGTACTTAAGCTGGCACCCGTGACGTGGGCGGGGTCTTCGTGAGAGCCTGGAACGTGAGAGCGTGGAAGTCAGGACCCGGGGTCGGGTCGCCTAGCACGGGGCTAGAGTGGCTGCTTCACCCGGCCGGCCGGTGTTGTTTTATCCCTCGGGTGGAGCAGTGGGAAGAGCCCGGGTAGTGTGTGTTAGGGACTGCCAGTACCCTATCCCTGGGGAGAGATATATATTAGCCCGTACAACATAGGCGTAAGCCCCTAATAAACCCTGGCGTAAGCCACAAACACAGTTTATTCCCTTCCGCTGCTGGCCTCTTCAACAAGGCCAATGGCTTACACTGATTTTAACATTTTATCTACAAAATTACACCTTGCCATATTTACACTATGTTACCCTATTTGTATTTTTAGATTGTAATTTTACAATCTGTAATTTAAAAAAAAAATACATTTTAGTCCCTTAGTGTTAGACTTTGTACCTTTAGTATAGTTAGACTTGTATACCACTTATATTTAAGATTACTATATGTTGAATGTATGCACCTTCCTGCCAAAGTAAATTCCTTGTCTGTGCAAACTTTAATGGCGAATAAAACCTTTCTGATTCTTAGAAGATCTGCCTCCGTGTCATTTGCACCATTACACAAGTTTTAATTGGGAAAGGCGACAATTTCGCAGGAATGTCCGCGCCAGGAGACACTTGTTTTTTTTCGTCTGACGAACCTTGTGCGAGATATAGAGGAGGAGGGACATTTGCGCAAACATGATCATTACTTTTGGGGAATTCGCATGCGGAATATTTCAGCCTCATACCTTGAAGGCAGCAGCACTAATAAGCCATCAGCTGGGCTGCAGCCACTCTGTGTCTGAACTGGTCAGGAATAATAATCTTGAACATTGTGCATTCCTTGACGAAACAGTCGTGCACATATACAGATATAGTCCAGAGTGTGTTCTATACGGTGGTTGTCTGGTTAAACTGGTTCCTGCCATAGAAATATGGACTTGTCACCATTGCCTCTGGACATTCAAGAGCGATGAGCGATGCCCATTCAATGCAACGCACTGAGGACACACTTCGCCGCCTCTGTAATAGAGTCCGTGCAGCGCTCTTTATACCAACATGGAAATAATAAGTTTGCTTCGCAATTGTGTTGGTTGCTCTTGTAATATTTAAAATTACCATTGTTCACAGCCGGCATCAAAACAGGAGTGGTGGCTGCTGCTACAGGCGCAGGTGAGTCGACCAAAAATAACGTTGATTACTTTTATTTGTAATTTAGATACGTACATTTCACGTGAATACGTAGCATTGATTTAGAAGTGTAAATGTATTTAACATTTTAATGGTATTGATTATTTTTTTCTCGAATTATGAATAAACATCTACACGTCGTCCATCATTCACTCGAATCAATCTTTCACGATGGTCAATCTAATTCGGGGTTCAAACTCTGACAAAAGTTTTCCAACACAGCTGTAGGGATGGATGATGACACAGCACCAACAACACGATGTTTAAGTTCTTAAAGGTACCCTTGGTTTGCTCGTGTAGACTTTACTTTTTTGTAACCCCAGAGATGAACATCTGATGGTGCTAAGTCGGGTGAACGGGCTGACTTGTCATTCTATCAGAAATGGGGGATTCCCATGAAACAAAGAAAGTACCAATCGATATTCACAACAACCTAAAACGTATAAGTCTAATGCATATATTCTTATCAAATGTATGTTAGTATCTCGAATAACAATAACGCTTCAACTTTCTTTTTGGTATATACTGTACAGTATTTACTGCGGTGTTGGGTATACAACTGTTTTGAGTTACACCTAGGTTGTCTACCTCTGAGCTACAAAGAACTGGGACAGATCATGGGAAGAAGACATCTCCCAATAAAATAACTGCATGCAAATGCGTAGTCTTGAGTGGTGTATTAGTATGCACCTGTTTAAAACCAGGTCTTATAATGTCCTAATCATGGGGAAGTACAGGGCAGGTGGCAACCCCAAGTGACAATAATCCTTGCATTTTTATACACAGAACTTTGAATAAAGCAAATAATTAGGTCAATATTGTGTATTCACCACGATTAAAACAATTATTGACAAGAACTGTGACCCCCAAATCGTTACAATTCATCTAATCCACAATTACTTTGTGAAAAAATGGCGAAACTGTGTTTTTCTTCAGATTTTTAAAATTTTCTAACATGTTATTGAGCCTGCATTGTCACCCTGACACTTTTTACATTCGCGTTTCGAATAGCATTTAATACATATTTAGACAATAACAATTTTGCAAGGATAGCTTTATACTGCAAGTGCATGACATTACTGAAATATCCATAATCGAGGTTTTTTGGGTTAGATGTCGTTAAACCCGCCACCACCAGACACAGCCGATTGGTAAAAACAAAAACACTTTTTTTACGAATAACATTAGTCGCGAAAGCCTGCGTGTTGAACGTACTGTGTGATGTGTGTGCGTGGCACGCAGTGACCGCAGTGACCGGAGTCACCACCGCGATTTCGGCTGCGGGATTCACCTCGGGCGGGATAGCAGCGGGCTCCTACGCAGCGTCGATGATGGCCGCGGCTGCAACCGCTGCCGGTGGCGGTGTAGTGGCCGGGAGCACGGTGGCTGTTCTGCAGTCCATCGGTACATTCACGCAGCCTCTATGAACACTGCAATCGTGGGTTTGGCTCGAGATGATACCAAAGTGTTGTGCACCATTGCATCGCTCGGGGTCTTCCAGCATGTCGCTTGGAACCCCTTTTGCACGCATGTTCTAGCTGCTGGTTAATGGGGCCGTGATTGGGAGAAATGGTTCTAGTACATATATATCGGTACTTGGGGAGCAGGGTGGCGGAGTGGTAACACGTGTACCTTAACAACAACAACAAGGACCTGGGCTCGATTGCTGACTCGGGTGCCTTTCTGTGTGGAGTTTGTGTGTTCTGCCCATGTTCTGCATGGGTTTCAATACACAGGCAGGCTTCCATCTACCCAGTCAGGACATTCGTTTCCGAACCTGTTTGCCATGCATTTACCATTACATATGGCTAAGCGTATGATTCATGCTGTGTTTTGAAAGGCAAAGTTACTTCAAGAAAATGCAATGGCATGCACCGCTTCACCCGATGTGTTTGTGTTTCCTCCTGCAGGCGCCATTGGACTTGGAGTACTGGGAACTGCAGCAACTGGTGGCATCGGGGCAGCAGTGGGTCTTTCCCTTGTCTGGCTCGTCAAGACAGCATGCAAATAACCCTCGGGCAGAACCAAATGATGTCTTTATCGATACAACATTTATTGACTTGTCACAGTTCAACAATCATTCTGTAAATGTGTAATGGCCGGCAATTGATCCTACGTCAGGCCTGAGGAGGGGGGTAAGGTGTGGACGGTTCCGCGAGGGCGAGCAGTCGTGAGGGGTTTATCAAACGAGGGCTGTGCTCGCGATGAGAGCTTGGAGTTGGGGCTGCCGCACAGCGTTAACAAGTTACGCGTCGCGAGTGTTTAAATACAAAAAGTTTCAGCTGGCATGAGACTTGTCTGTGTGGGCGGTGATTCTGTCCGGCACCGCAGACACACGGGACCCTCGTCCCGGCCACGGGCGAGGCGTTGTCGTGTCCAATCCCCACACGCCACCCTGAATTTTATTATTATAACAAAGCTATACAATCTCACCACCCTAAACAAAATGCTGGATCGCCTTAGTAAAAACAAATATAGATCATTTAGCGGGTATTCTCAGCAGATCGGTGAAGGTGTGGCAAGCTGGTGCTGTCTTGGGCGGCCAGTTTAAATTGCGATTAAAAATCAAATGTTTTAATGATCTGCATGTAGAAGGGGTCCACTTTCGCCGATAAGACATCAGCAGCAGTGTGAGGGCCGCCACGGATTTGAAACCATTGGGAGTTTGACAGCAGCACGATGATGATGATGAAGGGTGTCTTCACATCTGTTGTTTCTTGTCGGGGTACCGTACATCAGGGGCCGCACTAAAGGCCACCAGGGCCCCCAGCGGCCCCCGGGCCTTGCGATGAAGAACGCCGATACAAGGAGAAGGGTTTGAAGGGGGAAGTGTGCGAGAGCGGAGAGGCATTGGAGAGAGGGCAGAGTTAGGGGAGTCATCGCGTAGATAACGGAGAAGGACGTGACAGCCAGAAGGGTGGGAATTAATACCCGATCGTGTCTGTTGAATGTTAAGTGTTGTTTGCTCGAATATCGGTGGCCATATCACGCTGGGATTACACGTTGAGCTAATAGCCCAGTTGCTAAAGTTGGAGCGGGGAGTTGTGAGTGATGATTGAGAGTGGCGGTATCTGCATCAGAGAGGAGTTTTCAGTCACCTCCAACGAAAATTTGTACCCTCATATAAGCAATGAAAAATAAAATGAAACGCTCTTAACTGAAGCGTGTATTCCATGTTTCGTGTTGTCTGCGTGACGTTGCCGACCCCAATCCCGCACCCTCCTCACGGGGCCGGTTCTCTGCCAAATCCGCTCTGCTGAGTTTCTCGAGTTCCTCGTGGTCGTTTCAACTCCTCCGCTGCCCCCTGCTTCTCTTCGGCTCCCCTCCCAACTTCGTTTCCTCATAACCTCTGATGCCCCCCCCCCACCCCGCTCCAGCCACCTCGTAACCCAATGATGCCCGTCACTCCACAGAGAAGAGTAATCCTCTCTCCTGCCTGTGTGTCTCCGGTCGGTCGTTATCTTGCATTGTGCCTCCGATTAGCGCAGTTGGCTATGCACGGTGCTCAATGAGTTCAACGTACACATGCAGACACCTCCCCACCGAAGCCTTTGGTGCCATCTCTCCTCCCTTTAAGCCTGAGCTCGCTTTTGCCTCCCCAACCCATTACCTCGTTTAACATCACCCTCTCCCCTATTCCCCCGACTCATCAGCCCTGTGCCTCCTCTTGAACCTGCAACCTTGCCACCAGATCTGGCAAAGTCAAAAGGGGGAGATTCATATTGCGACAACCTCGACGCAAAGCTCCTCGTCATCCGCATCCATCACTGTCTTCATGAACTTGCCACGCGTGCAGCAGCAGTGGCATCGGTGGGCTCCTGAAGATGGCAGCAAAGACAACCAACGACTGACATTGTGCTCGAACGCCGTGTTCGCCGTAGTAGTCAGCACAGCCACTCGAGAATGATGCACGTGTTCAGGCGCTGCCACTGTTGGTAGGAGTGTACCTGGGCACAAAGCAGGTCACCTGCAAATTTCATTCGTGCCATGATGGTGCAGGGGCGTGTGGGCATCGCCTTTCTGTCGTGCGTTTGATGTCGTGAAGAACGGCGTCGTCTCTCTACCGCCAGAGTGCACTGCAAGTCCATGATTGGATCTTCCTTTGTGCGCATTGGTCTCACCTGCAAGACCACACCATCCACTGCCGATTGTCCACATCGTATACAGTGCTGTAGAGCATTATTAATGTTGCTGTTGTATGTATTAGGCATGTCGAAATGACGGTCACCACAAAGCTGGTACAGTACATTGTAGGCGAAACACACCATTATCGTTTCGGCCAACGCGGTTTTAAAATGTCACTCATTTCCATCCACCCTACGTGAAATCACGAGTGCGTGTCTGCAGAGGTTTGGCTAGAGCGATACACATTGTGAGAACACTCAAGTGACAATTCATTCCCATACATCCGGCCCGCGCTGGATGAATCTGTTTTTAATACATAAATGCGAATTACAAAGTGCACTTTAAACATGTATCAGATAAGAAGTGCCTCATGCAGTGCAGTTTTTTCCAGATTGCTGCAACCCCCACCGCCCTGAAAGGCTGAGACATATCGCATGAAGTCACGATTCAAAGTGCATGGGATGGCAAGCTTTAGAAACGGGGAGAGTGGCTGTGTTGTGATAGTTGGTGTGGGGCTCAAGGGGACGGAGTGGAAGGCAGCGGGGAGAGGTGATGGCGAGTTGCTGAGGGCTTTTGTTGTTGTTGTTGCTGTAAAGGAGGACACGTTTGGTGGTAATTTGTTGTTGTAAAGGAGGACAAGTTTGGTGGTAATTTGGAGTGCGTGGAGGGGGGGGAGAACGACGTGGGTGTCTCGGGGCTTAATGGAAGAGGATTCGGTGGTAAGGTGAATATGATGGGGTAGACGAAGTCATGGTGAGTTTGTGCGGGGATAAGGGAATGTGACGGGATGAGTGTGACAAGAGCGTTGTGCGCGGCTTAAGAAATGTTTCCAGCAAATATCAGTTTAACACGTAGGCTTTCGCGACCAATAGTATTCATAATAAAGGTTTTTGGATTAGATCGCGTCAGTATAAATGTGTCGTAACCCTCCACCACCCGACACATCCAATTAGTAAGGGATTTGTCACGTAAATAAAACGCCATATATTTACTAGTAATGTGTAGAGTGTAGAGTGTAGAGTATAGTGTAGTGTATAGTAGTGTATAGTGTAGCTACTACTTCAGCCCTCCGGTGTGTTGGAGAGTACATCCACAACGTTTTACTATTTGAGTTCGACGTTTCGCTGGCGATGACTTCCCGCTCTTTGCCGGTGGTCTTCGAGGTTGCTTGAGACAGGTCAGCAGTCTGCTCACTGCGGGTTGTTGAAGCGACGGACTTGGGACTGGCTGAGACATCTCTCGTCGCTGATGTTGGCCGTGGCTGCGAACCAAAGGCATGCAGCCAAGTTCACAGGGCAATAAATACCGCACGACTCAATACAATTCAAACACTAACATAATTATAGAATGTGACTAGTTATAAACCAAGGGTACATTAGGTTTGTTTTAATATATTTCCGTTGATATGTTCATGTGTGTTAATGTTCAAGGCTTATCTTTTTAAATTTACACCGATGGTTGCCGTGTATTTTTTTTTATTTAGAATTGTATTGCATTGGATTGTATATATATACTCCACTTTTTTGTAATAAAATTCTATTTTTTTAGCAATGAAGTTTTGCACGATGAATGTTTGCCTCACTTGGAACTTAGTTTTAAATAATCGAGAACGTTGTCTATATTTAATGTAATAACATTGTCATTGCTGGACTGCATAAGGGGCCGTCCATAAATGACGTCACAAAAAGTCAGACCCCCTCCTCAAATATGACGTCACAAAGCTCTGCCCCCGCCCCCCCCCAAAAAAAAATTTCAACATGCTTCAAATCGCTTTAAACTATTGTCATTGTAGTGCGTATTTAATCTGGCGCTGCACTCTGATGTTGTAGGAGAAAACATTTATTGAAAGTCTATTTAATTAAGTAGAACGTGTTTTCTATATTTATTTAAAGTTGTGCATTTTGATGTGACGTCACATTTCTCAACCCCCCCTCCCTCGTCACACATCGTCACAAATGTCTGACCCCCCCCCCCAGGTGCGTGACGTCATTTATGGACGTCCCCTAAGGTAGAGCGCACCCAAACTGTAGGGCTGACTTAACCTTCAAATGCCAGTTGTCCTGTGGCTCCAGACGAACCCTATATATCTCTCTCGTTTGTAGAATAACTTTCGTGGGACTTGCGATATTTGTAGAGGCAGAAGGCAGGGTGAGCACATGCAGGAATAGTTGCGGCCATACCTAATCAGCAGCTCAAGGAATCTGATTAGAGCGTCCCTAAGACTGACATTGGCCTTCACTGCCCTTGGCGTCTCTGGTTTGCAACCTTTACCCAAAGCCAATACAAAAGGTGGAACTAAAATTTGCTTAAGCCTTATGAAGTGTCAAGTGTGCAAGCAAGGCAGGGTCACGTTTGCTGCCCTGAGGTTACTCAAAAGCCGACATACATTCGTGCAGAGGGACTCGTACTTAATAACCGCACGTTCTTCAGGAGAGTCAGCACTCGATATTGACTTGTGTTGTTGCAAACGATTGTGGGCTTCTCCCTCAACACCAGGGCAAACAGCTTGCATGTCCTAGCACATGATTTCTAAGCAGGCCACGTCTGGTGTGCACACAGCAAATTGCAAAATGTCAATCATACCGGGGTGACACCAGCGTTTGTCAATTGTGGGGATACATATGATGTTTGCATAATTTGTACAGCAATTAGTGTGGGGGGTAGCCGTGATATGGCGATATTACAGTGTTTCGTATGGTATAAATGCCATGATAATCTTTAAGTCTGTTTCTGAAAATATATCGTTATATCCGGATTAAAGCTCTAAATACATAGCTGTTATCCATTCAATTTAGTGCTTTGAACATCCTTCTACACATTCATTGATCGCATGCTGCTCATGTTGCCAACATTTCAGAATTAGTTATTAATGTGTGTATGTATTGTGAAACTTACAGGATGTGCGTTATAAGGCCTATGGAGTAGATTGTAAAGTCGCAACTATGAGAAGACTCTTGGCAGGCTACACTGAGCGAAATGCATTTGAATTACTTTTAAATGATCAACTAAGCACAATAACAACACGATGTACGTGAAGTACAATTACAACGTGATGGGAACCGGATATTGTTATAATCGCAATATTATGAAAATATCGTGGTTAAAAAAGTTATTTTGCGCCACCCTTTGCCATGAGCAAGCCATTTCACTCTCGTCTGCAGAATAAATCTCACTTCCGAATCTCATGGGACAACTTTGTGCTTGTTACACTATTATTAAGGTAAGCAAAGGAATTGGTAGCCATTGGATTCTCACGAAAGCGCCAGTCAGATGCATCGTTGATTACCCTTCTGATACCTGTGCTATGTAAGATGTTTGTTGGAAGATGTATGCAAATGACTGGGCTCTTCTTCCTGCCATGGAAGATAAACCAATCAATATTCTGAGTAATTCCTCCTTATGCGTGATGTTGTGGAAATTAGCATCACTTATTATAACACTTCCTACTCATACAAAATCATGTTCGTAATATATTCCAATTTTTCGTTGTGTAAATGTCACCTTATCTATAATCATCAACCTGCACGCTGTCTTTGTCGTCAGTGTAACAGGTGAGTGTAGTTACACCTTGAGTCGTGTCCTCCAATAGGTGTGAACATACTGTATACGTATATCTTGCGTGTACCTATTTTTATATTGTATCCAATTTCGTTTTCTGCCAACTACACGTTCCTTCATGAGAATGCTGAAGCAAATGTGGAATGAGTTACAAGTCCTGGGTAATGTCCTGCACAAAAGTGATTTGATGCTTGGGTAGTTCAGGATATGTTCAATGCTGCCATGACTATAATAGTGCTTATTTTTGTACTGATGTGTTGTGAAAAAGGCCATTAATGCCAAAATGTCAGACAATGTTGGTATGTTATTGCCTATAAGAATATAATAATACTGTAGAGCACACGCACACACAACAAATATATATCACAGCGAGTTTTAAATTAGGAATCTCGTTGATTTTCTGTCACTAATATCTGAAGCGATACTTGAAAGTCCACATCAGTCGGACACGCGTGGGGTCTATTCAAACAAACTTCCTGTAAAGTGACGTA